CTGTATATGAATGCGGAGGATAGTTTCAAAGGCCATTCATTTAAAAGATTTGAATAATGGAACTTTAAGCCATATGAAATTTCATAGACAAGGGAGCTACACAATCTCTTCATATTGACGTCTCATTACCTCAAAAATCATACATCTGATCTGAATTCAAAAATAAAGCTTATTCGATGATGAACACATTTGATCTCAAAACAACTGTATATCATTTAGAATTTTCTTTTACAAGTAATGCTATTATGCTAGGAAGTACTTAGCCCATGTTTGGTGGAAATTAAAATCAGATTTTTAGTAGATTTTGATAGAAGTTGATGAAATGTGAAAGGATAAAATTCCACATCGAATAAAGATAAAAATATAGACCAATTTATAAGAGTTTGGGCTACTCCTCTTAATAAGGTTGACCTTTTAAGATGGAACCCCAAATCTTAACAGAAAAGTTGTGGAACCCATAAAATATGTGGTTGAAATGAAATATTGACTTTGATTTAGATTAAAAATCGGTACTAAATGGGGGCTTAGTTTCCTTCTTCAGGCTTTTATTACTGTTCTGAGAATGATCTTAACGTATGAAATGAAGTAATTGAAGGGAATAATATTTTAGATTACTCATCATGTAAGTTATTTTGTATGTTTTTTTTTGCAGAGACCTCAGTTTCAACAAACTAAGCGGACCAATTCCTGATTACCTTTTTGGTCTGTCAGATGTAGATCACATGTAAGGATTTCAATTATCAAGACTAAACTTTCCAGCTCAACGCCATATAATGCCCATATAACTTTACAATAAGTATACATAAAAGGTCTAATTTAAGTGAGCAAATTACGAATGAATATTTTTAAGCTATCTACAGAAGTAGCTTCACGTCTTCTGTCAAAGAGTTTAAAAAATCCTTTCTTGCCCTCTACGGCCTTCTTTTTCCCTTTTTCTTCAGGGGGTTTCTGAGGGCAGTGGTCCGAGACTCGGAGCCTCGGTCCATTAAATTTTTTTCTTAATTTTACTACACGACATTTGGCCCATTATTTCTCATTAAATTATAATTTATTTTTCTATCTCTTATTATCAACCACACATTCTCCAATAAAATAATGTTACACGTAAACCCAAAAAAATTTCCTTATTTTTTAACCACACATTCTACAAAAAATTACTATTCCTCTCATTATAACGTGAAATAATGAGGGCAAAACAAGCTTGTCTCTTATTTTTGTCAAATGAAGTTATTCCAACATTTGAGTTGTCAAAATCAATTCTTTTTGAGCTTTGTTGTAACTCCACGGACAATGAAATTCAAGAATTTCGTATTAATTTACTTCATTCTTTGTGGACT